GTCTTCAGCGATAAGTGCTAGACGGCCCTGCGGTCCATCGCAGCTGCCTTGCCGGCCGGTTCCCTGGGGGCGCGAGCCGCCCCTGGGCCAGTGGGCGTGAGCAGGCTGCCCCCGAACGAGGGCGTGGGTGGGGCTGATGCGCAGAGTGCGGCGGGTCGGGAAGGCTTCCGAGAGTTACTCAGCGCCCCGCTGCAGGAACGGTACATTTTCCCTACCTGCAAGGAAAGAAAGGGCTATTCCACCAAGAGAAAAACAGCATTAAGTACTGTGTTAAAAGTTTTCAGACTCCTTATAATTTTCCACGTGCTCTTATAAACGTGTAGTGTTTGCATCCATAGCAGAAGTTAACCTCTTTTGAATGTCACGCGAAGGCTCAGTTTTATCTGCCCAAAGCTACCCAGCTGCTGAGTCCCAGAACAAGACCAGAACCCCTCACACTTTAGGGCCGTATTTCTGCCGTGCCTTCCGGCCTTATGCATCTCAGCATCTTGAAGAGTCACAGCCTCTGCGATTTATAAAGCACAGTATTTCAGCCTCGGCTGCCTGTCAGAGTCACCTGCAGAGCTTTAAAAATTACAGATGCCCGAGCCACCTCCAGACCTGTTAAATCAGAAAGGGTGTGGAATGGATGGAAAGGACCTATAATTTTCTTTTTAAAGCATCACGGGTGATTCTGGTACACAGGCCTGAGGATTACTAGATTCCAGCTTTTTTAGAATTTGACAACACAGCTATATCTGAAAGGTTGATTCACATGAGTGTTAAGTTTCACATGCTCAGAAAATATGAATTCTTGAGTTCTCTAGGCTCATGATAGACAAGAAGTGTAATAGACATGTTCCTCCTTGGCCAGGAGATTTTTCCTTCATTTTCAATCCTTTCAATCGAAAAATGGGGCCAAGGTAAGATCAAGTACACGAATGAATGCATAGGTTTTTATTTATTGAGAGAAACCAGAGTGAGTGGTTTGGGAAGAAATGCCTAAAAGATGAATACATTCTGGTGTGATTGGTGGGTTAGGTGATTGGTAGGTTTATTCATCTGTCTGATTTGTAATTAAGTTAGCTTATGTCAATAAGTCTGTCAAAGCAGTTTCTGGAAAAGTAATCCCTGGAGATAGTTGTGGGAAGAGGAGAATTCCATGGCCGTGTGCAGTGAGTTGGCCACCTGTAGCTGCAAAGGAGGCTGAGAAAGCTGAGCGCAGGATTGCGATGATGAGCTTAGGCCAGTCACAGTCCATCACCCAGACGTATCACTGCCTCAAATCAAACTAAAGTGATGCTAAACTGAGGAAAAAGTAGAGAATGGATTTTGGTTAAGCAGCTGAAAGACTCTGCTGCAACTTTGTTGAACCTGTTGTTTTCCAAATGTTTTGGATATGACTCATTTCGTGAAATAACTCATGAAAACTTGAGAAGTGTCAGTGTCACACACACACACACACACACACACACACACACACATACACACACACAGAGCCAACATACAAACAGACAATTTGGGGATTAGACTGTGTTTGTACTGGCAATTTTTACTTATTTTAACTTGACTCAGTCTTGCTGATTCAGAACGATCTTGCTTTATTTTTTATCAGACTTACTTTTCCTGGACAGGTTTCCCTAGAAAATGCCATGTACAAGTTCCACCTTTAGACACTGTAGATATAGGCCTCAGACATCCATATGTCTGCATGTTTTCACTTCATAGATTTTGAAACTGAGGTCCAGAGAGATTGGGTAATTTACTCTAAGTGAGAGACTTTGTCTCCAGGCATCCAGGCTGGCATATTTCCATCTCATTATGTTATCTTTCTTGTCCCTCACTCTACCTGTAGCATTTTCACTCATAAGATTATGTAGGGCGCCACAATTATACACATTTATTTGACTTTGGATCTTCTGGCTTTTTACATTTCAAGTAAAGATATTTTGTAGATTATGTTTTTAATTTCCTGCTTATGTTGTTCAGTGTTGCTTATGGAAAGAGATGTAAAGAATTAAAAGGATTATTTTTAGCTAAAAGTGTAATTTTAATTATTCCATAATTAATGAAAGTTGGGTTGCATTCAATTTTATGTTAACGTGGTCGTTAGCTACAGTTACCACTTGCTTGTGTGTTTTTTTTCTTTAATTGAGTTATAGTCAGTTTACAATGTTGTGTCAATTTCTGGTGTACAGCACAATTTCTCAGTCATACATGAATATACATATATTCATTTCATATTCTTTTTTTACCGTGAGCTACAACAAGATATTGAATATATTTCCCTGTGCTATACAGTATAAACTTGTTTATCTATTTTATGTATACCTGTCAGTATCTGCAAATCTCGAACTCCCAGTTTATTCCTTCCCTCCCCACTCCCCTCTGGCAACCACAAGTCTGTATTCTACGTCTGTAAGTCTGTTTCTATTTTATATATAAGTTCATTTGTCATCTTCTTTTTTTTTTAGATTCCAAATATGAGGCTTGTGTATTTTTAAACATGATTTTAAATAATCAAAGTAAAGCTTTGTACTTTGTCTCTTAAAATTAATGTTATTACACTTTACTTAGATAATGGCTTAGCAACTCAGTTCTAAGCTGTTCTCAAATCCCACTTTGTCCTGTCATAGATTTGCTTCAAAATTTCAAATAAAATTTCTCCCTAGAGAGTCTGTACTGAATCAAATCTTCGTTTTATACCATGTGACATGACTTCTGAGTAGATGCTGACTCTTTCAAAGCCTTGATGAATTTGCTACAGTGGATAAAGACCTGGCTTGCACTAGGAAAAATCCCAACCTACGAGGCAGAACATAATCAGTTGTCACAGAACAATCTATCTAAAAGCAAAATAGATTTTACAAGCCTAAGGATAGGCAAAGGATCTGAATAGAGTTTTTCCAAAGAAGTATACAAATGGTCAATAAGTACATGACAAGATGGTTAACATCAATAGCAGTCAGAGGAATACAACTTAAAACGTCATTAAGATACCACTTCATGCTCCCTGAGGTGGCTACAGTCAAGGGGACAGATAAGAGATAACACCAAGTGAGAATGTGGCAAAATTGGAACCCTAATATGCTGCTGATGGGAATGTAAAATGGTGCAAGCTGCCTTTGAAAACAGTCTGGCAAGTTTTCAAAAATTTAAAGTTAAATACAGGGTTATCATATGACCCAGCAATTCCACTCCTAGTTGGAGAAATGAAGACGTACTTACTCAACAATAAATTTTTTTTAAATGGGCAAAAGATTTGAATAGATGTTTTTCCATAGGAGATGTACAGAGGCCAATAAGCACATGAAAAAATGTTCGACATCATTAGTCATTAGGGAAATGCAAAGCAAAATCACAGGGAGTTATCACTTCACACCATGAAGAAAGCTGTCATCAAAGTCAGATAGTAATAAGTATTGAGATTGTGGAAAAAGTGGAATCCTTGTATGTTGTTGCTAGGAATATAAATGTAATAGCCATTTTGGAAAACAGTTTGACAGTTCCTCAGTAATTCCATTCCTAGGGATATACCCAAGAGAAATGAAAAAATATCCACACAGAAACTTATACATGAATATTCATAGCAGCATTATTCATGATAGCCAAAAAGTGAAAACAATCCAAGTGTCAATTAACTGATTAATGAATAAATAAAGTGTATATCCATGCAGTGGAATATTTGGCTATAAAAAGGAAGGACATGCTGATCCATGCTATAGTATGGATGACCCTGAAAGGGTACTAAGTGAAAGAAACCAGTCACAAAAGATCACATATTGTCTGGTTCCATTTATGTGAAGTTTCCAGAACAGACAAATCCATAGAGACATAAAGTGGATCGGTAGCTCCCTAGGGCTAGGGAATGGGCTCAGGAGAATAGAGAAGTGACTGCTGATTGGTACAGAGTTTATTTCTAGGGGGATGAAATGACCTAAAATTGTACAACTCTGTGACTATACTAAAAAACCATTGAACAATATACTTTCTTTAAGTATGTGGATTATATCTCAATTAACCTCTTACTTAAATGAGGGTAGAGTTAGGAAGAGCTACATTCAGAGACCAAAGGTAACAATTCACCATGCTGGACAGAGGCTGCTCATCATCTACCAATAGCTGTTCTTCCCTTATGTGGGTTAGAAGACATGGCTATCCAGAATAAAGACTACCTTTTCCAGTCTCCCTTGCAGCTTGCTGTGATTTTGTGACTAATTCTGGGCAATGGGATATAAGTAGAAGTGATCTGTTTAACTTGTGAGTGTGTCCTTAACGGCGGAGCTCAAGTCCTTCCCTGCTTGCTGGAATGCAGATGAGGTGGCTGGAACTTGAACATGTTGGATCATGAGGTACAAGCCACATGTTGAAGCCAAAACAGGTGGAGTCTTGTGTATCTACTGGATGTGAAACTGCCATAGTAGCTCTGGACTGACTACATGAGGGAGAAATAAATTTCTAACTTGTTTAACACAGTGTTATTTTGGAGTTTCTGTCACTTGCAGTACTACATAATTCAAACCAGTGTACCATGAATGTGAATACAGATGAATAGTAAAGTTAAATGAACTAATGTGCCTAGCTCATTAATAGCTCAAAAAGTGATAGCTCTTCCTACTAAATGACTCCCCACATGCTTCAAACAGCAGCCAAGATAAAATGTTAATAGTTTAAAAGTATATTTTT